ACTGTGCCATTTAAGGTAAATTTAGCACCCCCAATTCTATTCGCAACTCGGCCAATTATTGCACCAAAATATGTTGTGTCATTCTGCAATTTTAATATATATATATAGGCTCAATTAAATAATTGAAACAAAGAAATGTGATTTTTATACAATTTTTTTTTATTGCCCAGCTTATTAATAGTGATAAACGAGTCGCGTTCGAACTCATTAGCTTAACGAGCCGAGTCTCGTCTGGATAAAGGCTCCAGCTCGGGCTCGACTGATTATCAGAAGGCCTCGTCACGCTTCTACACACAATCGATAAAACTAACATCTCACAGAGATTAAAAATTTTCTAGTACCAATTGGTTCCATGCAAAAAAATGAAAAGAGTTTCTTAATCAGGCTGACCTTGTAGGCATCTATGGATCCAAAACCAAGAACAATATCATCCAATTTACCTGAAAACACACACACACAAACACACACAAAATTAAAAAAACAATAAAAAATGAAAGTTGGTCACAAATTAACAAGAATTATAAATAATAAAAAATGAAAGTTGGTCACAAATTAACAAGAATTATAAAGAATAAAAACTTACCATTTCTGTCCGGTACGACGACGTTTAGAACGGTGGCTCCATAGTTAGTGATGTTCACTGATAAATGGCCATTTCGCAGTTCATAAACGCCAATCCCTTCATTATAATCGCCTTTACAGACATTGACAAGCCCAAAAGGTATGATGAGTACAAGTAAGAGACATACATAAAAAGCTTTTGCCATGTTTTTATTTATTTTATTTTATTTTTCTGATAAATTTGCAAATAAAATATGCTCCAATGCTATGTATATCAGTATATATAATCAAATTTGAAAGAGATGAGAAAAAAATGGGATTTGGATAGAATCAGATAAATGTTTTTAAGATAACGATTATTGTTGTGTGTTATCTCTCCACAATAAATGGTGCTACCTTCTACCTGATTTTTCGAGATAATTTAATTTGACCTCTATAAATAGTAGCAGACATACATCATGCAAGAAGAAGGATAAAGGACTAAAAGTAACATACAAGAAAAAAAAAAAAAAAAAAAA